AAATATATAACAATCAATGGATTGTGTGTTGTAAAAAATGACCTTCTAACTCGAAATGTGTCGACAAAGCGATATCATTCAACGATACTAATTTATTCCATCCAGAGAGCGCCGCGATCACAAATTTCACGGCTACCCAACGCGCCTTTTGACAGACATCTTTTGAAAGAATATAAAATTAACTACGACGACGGACCCTTTGTTTCACAAACATACATCAAAGGTCCTTTGATTTGAAAAATTTCATTTTTAAATTTTCGTTATTTTAATAACGTTCATATTTGCAGGTAAAAAAAAACGTTAATTTATGTAGCCTGCTTGTGTGTTATACTGTAGCGTACGCTGGTTAGATTATATTATTTTACATTTAGAACTGTATTAAAAAATAGAAGGTTATTGTCAAATGAACGTCGAGAGAGTGCTGGACAAATCTTCAATCTTCATCTTTAATTAGGATTATATTCCTCGTTTAAATATTAAATAGTACCTCTAACTACGCTATAACCACGGCTACGCTCCCACCTTCTTAGACTATGGATATTTTTTTCCATCCTCTAAAGCTCCCACAGTACCTACCTACAAATCAACTGTTGGACAAAAATTATTTAATCTAAAAATTGGCCATAATTTATACAATAGACGTTGCCATCCGAAAAAGCGCAACTTTTAATATTAACAAATCTTTATTTTCACTACCTACAAGTTTTTCACTTACATCACAAAGCTTTGCATAGACTGGTGTGTAAACAAAGAAATAGGAAAACAATTGTGAATGAATCTTGCTCCGACAAAATATATGAAAACAAAGAATGGCATTAGCAAAGAAAATAACAATATATAACAACAGAAGTGCAAGTGTGTGAGCAAAACTAGAAGCTATACGCGTATACCTACATAATATCTACCACTACTACACAATACCTGTCACAAGATGGTTTGCGAAGAAAATAATTCACGTTCAAGGATACAAAGTAAAGGAAAAGTTCCAGCTGTGTCAAAATTTCGTGAAGTGAAATAAAATAATAATATTTATTGCTTTTTTCTAAGACAAATTTCAACACGTTGGATAATTTTCTACAAAAAGGAATCATTTTCAAGCCAATCTAATTAATTTTCTGTTTCAAAATATTTGTGTACAAGAAAAAGTTAGCATGAATAAATCATTCAAATATCTTGAAAGTGAGATAACATTTGTACAAGCTGATAAATTAGTAGCTTCGCGATATCGTTGGTTATTAATGTGAGCGAATTATTCTTCTTTAATCTGATTTGTTGAATAGGTAGGTACTCAGAATTTAAGCTTATTTTCAAAAACGCAATTTTTTATTAAACCTTAATTTAACAAGAATTACAATTGAATAAATATAATTCATATTATGCCTTTAGCCGTATTGGACTTAATCACAGTAGACCAAATAGGCCTAATTATTTACAGAAATAAATAATATAATAATTATCACCATACTACGTTCAAATAGCAAAACTCTATATAGAATACCCAGATTTCTTTTACACACTTTTGTACTTGTACTTTACAATTAATCTTAAATACTGTAGAGTTTATCCTCTTTAAAATTTCAAATACCTACCTAATTTAGTTATTTATAATAGACCAATTAATTAATTTTTTTACAAGTTTTATTTCATCGTTGTAGCATCAATGCTTTTCGACTTTTTGTCACACAATCATAAAGCAGAACGTAATTCTATTGTGTTACCATTTTAGAGAAAGTTACTCTCTCTGCAAAAACAGACATCATTGACATTATTATGAAAATAAATATTAAATAGCAATTTTTTAATATCAACAGAAATCTTCGTACTTAAACAAAACATTTCGCCTTATATGAATTTGACCATATGTGTTTATTATGTTGTTAGTAAGTATACTTCTTACTAATGAATAATACCGTTGTTTTCGTATGAAAAGTGTCTGTCAGTCTTTTTTTTAATATTATTCTGTTTAGCGTAAATTACATTTTCGTAAAACATGTGGGTAACTTCAATTAATAATACCAGAAACATTCAAACTTTAAAAAAGATTTCAAAAAGTTAACATCTTGTCTCTCTTCTGTCGTTATTGGATAGTTGATATAGCATCTTGGCAATATTAATAAATTAATATTGGCAACACTAAATCTGACAGCTGAGCTGTCAAAGCTTTCCGTTTCGCTTTTCTCTTTCAGCTTGACATTACGTTCAAGGCGATCATTTTTACTTTGGCTTAACACGTTTCGTGTCATAACGACTTAAAAGTAAGTGTATTTGTTAAAATAATATTGTGAATTTATTACTTGTTGTGATCTCCATGTGTAAAAATAGATTTTGGTGAAAAACGTCAACAAAGGCGCGAGATTAACTTTGATGAAATAATGTAGTGGACAACTTAACCTAAAATCTTAACAACGCTACGGCTCTGTTTTTATATAAATCTCAACTTTACCACTTCCAAATCCTGTTTTTTGCAATAAATGCAATATCTCACGCTTTATTGTAGCATAACTTTGGATGTATTAGGTTCTCGCATAACCTCAATACGAACCAATTATGTTCAGTGCTTCGTGGAAAGTTGTTGTTTCTGTGTCCTGAATATAATATAGATCACGCGATTATAGATAGTAGATCAACAGCAGAAATATGGTCGTATAAACATTCTCCGGCCGGCGTTCTTGAGTACATGTGTCCAAAGGCGTTACGAATTCGCCTTTGCGCCCTTTATATGCTATTCTTCTAAATGTACACAAATTGTATAAAAGAAACAAAAAAACATACCTAATTCATTTTATTCGAAACTATTTTCCTTCCAAATAGCTACCACCTGTATTAATGATAGTAGTTATTCACTATATACAATCGGAATCGCGTTGTATTAAATTGCCGCAATTAATTTCAATGGTCCACTGTTCATCACTTGAGCTAGCTCTTTTTAGAAAGGTCTCTTGTGACACGACCGGCGGGGCTCAGTTCTGGTTCACAATAGTATAGTTAATGTGACCAATATGGTAAGATTAATTTCAGTTCATATTTCTTTCAAATATGCCATCCATTACAGAATGCGTTACGTGGCCGCATACCTACTGGCCGTGCTGGGCGGCAAGGCATCTCCAGCAGCAGCAGACCTTGAGAGGATCCTCAGCTCTGTCGGCATTGAAGCTGACTCTGAGAAGCTAAAAAAGGTCATTGCTGAGCTCAGCGGAAAGGACGTTGAGGAGCTCATTGCGTCTGGTATGTTTCTGCTATTACATTTTATTAGCTTACTACTTTGTTGTAATTATTGCCAATCTGGTAAATAGCTTAGTATCTTTTTCTGAATGAAAAATTGATAGCAAGAATCAAAATTGACACCATGACAATGTCCAAACAATCAACAAATGACCTGATTTTGAACTAACCAGTAAGTACCAGAGCAAAAAAAATAATTAAGGACTCTTCACCATAAAACCCTGACTAGCACCAGATTAGAATAGTAGATATTGAGGCAAACCAAGTGTCAAGTACAAAAGCACTTTTAAATATTTATATCACTAAAAGTAAACTAATGATGATCCCAAAAAATCACCATCTTTCGACTGAGCAACCATGCTGTTCATAATACATCAACTGACAAAGAAACTACTTGATCCATATAGTGTTCCACATCCTGTACACATTGCTTAACCCGTCAACTAAAACTTCGCAGGTCGCGAGAAGCTGTCGTCGATGCCAGCGGGAGGCGCCGCGGCACCTGCCGCAGCTGCCGCGCCCGTTGCTGCCGCTGCTGAAGACAAGAAAGGTAACTTATATCTAACTAAATCTACCACCCAGGAACTGCATGTAGTATTGGCACCATGGGATAGAATAATTACTGATCTCTTTTTCACATAAGTAATTTTATTGTTTCGTAATAGGATTACATTAATGTGCACTTTTATCCTATGTAGGTTTAACAGTAGGGCTAACACGACAGGGCGCAACTTGCGCGAGAGCGATATAAAGCGCGAGATACTGCTATTCCCACATCGAGATGGGACGGGGACGGGTGGGACAATGTGACACCTTTTTTCTCGAACTTCTAAGTAATTTCTCCCTAACCATTGGTTAATTAGACTTAAAATGAAAATATCATGAAGCCAGGTATGCAACTCAACAGCGACTATATATTAACATAAATTTATTACCTTATTTATACTCAAAATATTTAATTTTCTAAGTGTGACTAGTGGGACACTCACGACCTATTTGAGTTGATGGCTTCATTGCCAAGATCAAGACAAACTACTAATATTTTGTTCAGCAAGTTTTTCATATGTGATAACTTGAATGTTAAAGTCCTATTTTATATATACACTTCATTAATAACTTTGATAAATTTTAAGGCAATTAATATGTCAAGTTGTGATGGGTGAGACACGATTTTGTGACGGGTGAGACGAGTCACAATTGAAAAGACAAAATTAATAAAATTACACTGTTTAATATAAGATCCATTGTTAGTATGTTTATAATTTTTCTTGTACTAAGACATTTTAACACAAAAAACATAATGAAAGAACTGTTAAGTAAATTTGAAAAATCTGCCACATCCTTGATACAAAAGTGTCATATTAAATTTTAGTTATGTGTTAAAATGTCTTAATTATGACAAAAATTATAAAATATTTGCTTACAAATGATGGATCTACATATAAACAGTGTATTTTTTTACAATTCTATGTACTCCAATGTAACTTGTCCCACCTGTCACAAAATGTCAAGTCAAAGTTTATATTTGCAAGAATACACAAAAACACATGTTTTTCAAGATCTTATAAAAACGTATAACAGTATTCAACCTGCATTCAGGTATGCAAATTATTTAAATTAAAATTAATTTACATATGTCGTAAAATAAAATTAAAAATTAATCAGTCCTAATAAGTAAATTAATCAGTCATAATTAATGGTGTCCCAATCGTCACAATTTAACACATCAAATGTTTAAATCCAAAATTAAAGCAACTGTTACATCTAGTAAACATCGTAAAAACTCGAATCCATGAAAATACAAACATTTAGTCAAAGTGAAAATGTTTACAAGTGTGTTCCACCCATCGCTGTGACGGGTGGGACACACTCCTATTTACGTGCACAATGCCAAAATAATGACCCTTAGCATAATTTTTACTTTTACAGAAGCAAATTCAACAGATTGCTTATTTATTGGTTAAAATAAAAATGTATGTGTTTCATTGTGACGGGTGGGACTTGCAAATAGTATTTATTGAAACTTTAATAACTCCACAACACCATATATACTTCCATGCAATCACTTATCACTTTTTTAAAATTCATTTTTTTAAATTGTGTTTTCTTTGATAGTAATAACTTATTTAGAAAGGCGCACAAATAACCGCGAAAATTGTTGCTAACATTATAGGAAAAAATGCTTCTATAGACGACATCACTATGGCTGCGATCATGAAGAGAAAAAATACAATAATTGTACAATATCCGACAAATCTCATTTATTTCTACTGATTTGATTTATTGGGCGTATTCTAGTCATACAATTAAAGCCAAATTGTGTAATTTATTTTTTTAACTGCCGTGTCATTTTCGCTGGAATGACCCATCTCGCACTTTATGTAGCTCTCGCGCAAGTCGCTCCTGTCGTGCTAGCCCTACAGGTCTTCTAAGTCTTCTAATACATAAGAAGACTTACTAGTTCATTAATATCACTATTAATTAAATATTTCTCATTTTTGTTAGATTGATTTAGATTAGATGTACATTTTTCAGTTGGCTGTATTATTATAATTTCTCCATAAAATTCTGCTAGAAACTGAATGATGAATTCCAATATCACCATCTTTCGACTGAGCTCCAATGCTGTTACCACATTCTCATCTGACAACTCATTCGCTTTCATAACAATCCATGTAGTTACAATTTGTTTCCTAACACGCTGTTCTCAATTTGCAGAAGAGAAGGAGGCTAAGAAGGAAGAGTCAGAGTCTGATGATGAAGACATGGGCTTCGGTCTCTTTGATTAAGTGCATTTTACAGGTAAGCATTTTGTTAATTCATCTAAGTAATATATCTATTTACAAAAGGTATCTTACCTTAAGGAAACTTGTTTGTGAAGTACTGTTTAGTCCATCACAGGAGATAGATCACGAACAAGTCGTGCGCCTGATGGTAAGTGACACACCTGTCCATATCAGTTGCAGTGCCACTTACAGCTTTAAATCGCAATGATCTGAGGGGCACTGCCACTGCGTCTGTCACCCTGAGACATAAGTTGACAAGTCCCATGTGCCTGTAATTTCAACAGCACGCCTTACCCTTCAAAACCGGAACACAGTAAAGCTGACATTACTGCTTGGCGGCAGGAATAGGTAATATGGCAGGAGTACCCTCGATGAACTCTTTCACAGGGAGCTCTATTACTACTGAAAATACACATACTTATCTGTCGAACACACCAATTATAACAAATCTCCCATTTTGAAAATGCTGTTCAGTTGTAATTTGGTTTGGTTGACAGGCAACTCCGCAACATATTCTCTACTGAGTAGTGTAATTCCAAACTAAATTATCGTGAAAACAGCACGTTTGGACAACATTTAAAAAATTGTCAGTGCATGTAGCCGAATATTTACCATGCTCGTAGAGGTCTGCGTGGCAGACGAGCATGGGAAATGAACGAACCCGGGACCTCCAAATATGCTATTTGCCTGATGTCAAATTTCACAAAATTCTGTTTGTATCGAAAAACTTCATAAGTTTTTTTTATCAGTTTGCTACTAAACTTATTTCATAAACACCTCTACATAATTGCCCTTTTTTAAATGCAGTTTTTTTCTTTGTTCCCAGTGTATGGCGGCACACGCGGCCGTAATTCCAAAACAGTTATGGTGTAAGCGTAACCTGACCGCGACTATGTTTCTATGAAATATAGATTGCAAGAAAACTAAATTTTTTTAATTTCTTATCCTACAAAGAAACCTCGAACCAAATGGAATTCACTTTTCCCATTGTTTTGTTTATGGACATTATTATTAGACTCAATTATGTACCTGCTAGATTTTAGTATTTAATAATAACATAAGGGAGTAAATAAAATGCATATGTACATAGTCAAGACAACATATTTAATATAAACTTTTTGGTACGTACTTACATATAAAAAAAAAACAATATTAGCTGTAAAGGATGAATAAGGATGAATATTAGATGTATATACCTCCTAAAAGAATTCATTCATTCTTACAAACTTTCGTCTATTCTTACTTCAATCGAACTCTAGCTTCTTGAAGGTTCCTTCCACACTTCCGAAGAAGTCGGATATTGTCTTGGGCTTATCTGGTCGTAAGGACTCCGTCACTCGCTTCTTGTTTTCCTCTTCAAAGAAAGCCGAGCTTGCGTACAGCTTTGACAAGATCTCATCTGCAAATAAGTACAATTTTGACAAATAATACAAGTCGCTTGCAGTCTCAAGAAGAAACAAGTGCTTGTAGTTTGTGGTTAAATAGTGCCGTCGAAACAGCCTCGTTTTAAAACAGCCTTTCGTGGCTGAACGCTTACCATGCTGGTCTGCCACGCAGAGGTCCCGGGTTCGATTCCCGGGCCGGGAGAAATATTTTGTATGATCTACATTTATTTCTCATGAGTTTGGGTGTAATTTGTGGTTGTCTATATGTGTGTCCATATAACTATTCCCACCGACTTGGACACACCCATGGCACCCACGATACAGAGTTTCCCTGGTCTGGGGCAATTCTAAAAACTGAATTATTGTCATCATCATCATGTCAGCCGGAAGACGTCCACTGCTGAACATAGGCCTCCCCAAAGATTTTCAGACCAGCCGATCGGACGCGACGTGTGTGAATGTGAGACGTTGAAATGGCGGAACTAGGAAGCAGGGTAAAGCCCAATTTACTACAGGCTAAAGTAGCGCGTGTCGGTTTCCTTTTGCCATAATAACACACGCGCTGTTTGTGGAACTGTAATTTTCAGGTGTTAGTTGTATGTGTACCTAATTTCGGTGGCAATTTTTATAATTTAAATATTCCGGAATATTATAAAAATAAATCGTTTATTTTCTCCCATCATGTAATAATGAAGTATTATTTAATATTTCACGATGTTAATATTCGAATATCAAATATGTAATATAATAAAATTTGCCACCGAAATTAGTTACTCTGTTGCGCTGACAAATCTTTTAGTACTTGGTATATTATAAGACCTTGCTATAATTTGTTTGATTTTATTTGATAATAATGTGTCTATGCCTGATTGTAAACGTGGTCTTATAGAAGTATAGATTTGTTTTCAACTAAGTCTGAAATGATCCATCCAGTCGGAACACAAGACTGTTTTTTTTACACATTTTACAATAGAAGCTTGCACCTCCTACTGCCGAGCACGGGTCTCCCTGGTTATATGGTCAAAGCCACAATTGTTATTCCTTACCTACCTTTTAGAACATGAACACTTTTAAAATTCCCTCCAGACTCCTTAGGCAATTCTTCACTAGGGAAATAAGGCTGTAGAGTAGCGGACTCGGGTTGGTGTACATACAACACGTTCAGAAGCGAGTTACTCATGAACGGACGTACTATCGACATGAGTTTATCCATATAAGCTGGCGCATTCAGGTAGTGTACTCCACGAAGGTTCGCAAGGAGGGCTTCCTGGATTTTATTAATATCGATGATTAAAAATGTAACTAAAGATCGAAATAATTCAGTAATAATATCGCTCTGCTGATGCAATAGCGTATTAACTCAAAAGTAAATTTATTCAAAATAGATGATAAACGAATTACTCACTTCCCGTGAAAGATTATTATAAATTACATATAGCTTAAAATTTATTAGACATTAAAAATTTCCTACTTACCAAGTAGAAGTATATTTAAAAATAAAAGTACGTACAAAGTATATAATATAATATTTTATGCAATCGTTGCATAATGAGTAATAATAACCATATCCAATCAGGAGGCAGCGCAGCGTTT